TGGAAAAAGTTCATTTTCCAAAACAGATATTTACATAGTCTTAATTAAAAAGTAATAAAGTATGCTTTTCTGTGTATTATTAACATTATGATATTGAAATGTGACAACGTTTCTGAGGATACATCTATGTGAGGTTAAGGCCACGCAGTATAAATGTGGCATTCAGTTCTTGAAATATTTATTCATCACAATTACACAAGGTGCCTCGCAATAGATTTAGAATTTGAAATTGAAATATTTCTGCAACCGTTATGAGAAGGGAGGGATGAGAGGGAATATAGTTCAACGCGGCATTTGTGCAGACTTTTTAATAACGACTTTTGAATAACAATCGGCCCATTTTTCTTCGAAAATTCCCTTGTAGAAACCATAACTGTTACGACATTTGTACAGTTGCATAATAAATTAATATTTTGTATTTTATACCAATACTTAAACTGTAGATACTAATCGTATAGTCGGCACATGTAGTCCCAACAAAATGGCGCTACACCTCTCACAGTGACAAATACCGTAAACGTTCTTCGCGAACAATTCCCCAAACTAATTAGTCAGTTTGGAAACATCCAAAGATACCTACATCGCCAGATTTCACCCCCATGGACTTCTACAGCTTGTAACAGTAGATATCTGACGGTCAATCTTTGATTGCAACATAACTGACGTATTGGAACTAGACAGAATATTGTCGATGAGTTCCGAGAATGTGCACGCTATGCCGCGAAGAAAAACATTTAGATGACGTAATCTCTAAAAAATAGAATCCACAAGTTTAGCAAATTGGTATCGACTTTCGCGGCCAATAGACTGATGCTGTTCTGATTCGAATCAAAACGACATCGTGTGTTGGAGTTGCTTCCTAACGTTTCGTTAGCACGAGTCCGTATTCAGTGTCGGAGATGGAAGGACCTCTGAAGATGCTCGCCACTCGTGCTAGCGAAACGTTAGGAAGCAACTATAACACACGACGGCCTTTAGACCCGTATCAGTCCACAAGTTTAGTTTTTCATTTGATAAACAATAAGTAGATACATAATATTTTACACTTCATTTTTAAATCTTAAATCTGTTATGGGACACCCTGTAGGTGAATAAAGTAGAAATTAAAAAGCGTTTACTAACCAGTTTAGAATAGATCATACCAATCATTTAAATTTTAACCGAAATTAAGAGCTTTTTCAATTTATTATTGTTATGAAAATGTTGGGTCGAAAATATAATGGTAGTATTCTTAATGGCAGTTTAACTTATATTTGTAAATATAGCAAATTAAAATATCAACTTTGTAGAAATTTCAAATTATTAAACACAGCCGTATATTAGTATCGCAATAAAAAAGAGAAATCATCTTAATAGATACAATTAATGCCTTATGATTACGTTATTGTCTGTCATAACTATCTTAATAAGTAATAGCTGATTTTAGAAGAACTGAAAACGAGTAAACTAGCAATTTATTTAAATACATTTTTTTGTCATTAAATAATAGTCCATAGAAAATAAACAAACTTAGGGGCAGGCGTTCTTCAAATTTTACACTTGGTGCTAGTATCATTTAAAGTCCACCATTGAGCACAATATTAATGATTCTACTATTACCTAAAAGTATAGTTATTGGAAAATATCTGGTTAGAATAATGGTTTTTATTATTGTCAGGCAAAAATGATTTTAATTTTTTTTTGTTTACTGGAGACTATTTTTTTAAGGTTGAACTAGATGTTTGAAGTAAGGAAGACACTTTTATGTATATAATGTTATATCTCTTTGCCAATTTTGAAATAGATTTATAAAAATCTTGTAAAATTATTACAAAAAAAGAAAATTATATGTCACCTTTAACACCCTGTATCTTTTTACATAGCAAAATTTTATTAAGGCATATTTGACCCAATCTTCATATTCTGTTCCAAATAATTTGCACATGATCTATGTCCCAATAATTTTGACTCATCTTCTATACGTACATATCAATCGGAAGCACCAATGCCTACTAATACTACTATTTATCCCTAAAAATCATAGTCATGGTGTTATCATCCAAAAGAACACAACGGAACATAACCTAACCTAACCTAGACAACATTTTCCTATTAGGTCAAACCAGGTTAGTTTATATTAAACTTAGGTTAGTTTACTTTAGTTTCTTTTCCATGATAACTTGGTGACCTTTAAAATGGGGAGGCATTGATATTTTTTTATTGATATAAATTATAAAACAAGCGCCTCTCCCACCTTAAAACGTCTGATTCTACCCCAAAAAATAAATCTCCGGTGGACAAAAACCTTTTCGAAGTAATTTTCTTCAGTAACTCCTATTCTAAACATTTGCCTACTGATTATTATTTTTTTATGTTTATTTTAAGCCAATTTATTCATTCTGATTAAAAACCTATCTATTTTCAAATATCATACAATATGTCTACAATTAAAATTTTAAAAGTTTACAGGTACTAAGTACACCGATGAAACTATAAAAAACGTTATATTATTTATCTGACATAAAAATGGCATCGACGGATCTAAAATCAAAAGATTATAATATAAATAAATCAGGACAAATAGAATATAAAGAATTTGGTGGACAATTCTCAGGTAAAAGCAAAAAAGGAAAGAAAAGGTCAAAAGAAGTTCATTTTAACAATCTCAGTAATGAAAATTCTAATCAAAACCTTTTAAACCTCATCACTATTAGCGATTCTCATGAAGTAAAAAATAAAACAAAATCAGAAATCAAACAAAAATTAAAACGGCGTATTAAACGTTTGCGAAAAGAAAACACTATCCTTTCTCAGAAATTACAAACAAACGATGATTTTTATAATAAAAAAATTAGTGAATCTGGGGAACTATTAAAGTCAATAAACAAATACAATGAGGATTTAGGAAACGAAAATAGACTATTAAAATTGGAGTGTGCAAACTTTGCTTCTTGCCAAAAAGAATTAGAATTGGTTCGGCGTAAATGTACCTGCATGAAAGTCACCCTCGAAAAAACAACCACCGAATTGAAGTACTACAAAGAACGAAACCATGAATTGGAAAACGATTTACAAATGTTAAAGAATATTGTTTACAGGTATACAAATGAAACTTATCTATAGTTGGGACGTTCAAAATTGACATAGTCCGCAGTAATCACATTTACTTTCTTCTTCCAACTTATTAACTAGAGTAGAGCGGTCACTAATAAAGAAAAAGGAGTAACACGACACCAATTATTGTGTAACAGAAAGAGATGCAGATAATCAGAATTTGAGCATGTTGTCAGCATCAGACTTTAAAGAATGTTCAACATTCTCAGGAATTCAGAAAAGCAAAGATGCTTGCTTAAAACTATAATTTCAACCAGGCAATTATAAAGCCGACCCTGATCTTTTGCGTACCTAAGCAACCTGTAACCGCTACACCGCTTACTATCAGTCGATTATCTCTTTTCACTTTGTGTGTACTACTCATGAATTATTTCCTAAATTAACAAGGGCGTGTTCAAAATTCAGCAGATAGCTACAGTCCCAAATGGAAAGAAGAAAAAACGAACATCCATTCTCACTTTGTCAATTTTGATCGTCTGAACTATATTAAGAATATGTTAGAACGTAGAACTTTTTAGCCAGTATAGTTTATACTAGTTATTTACTAAATATACTAATAGTCAGTGGCAGCCTGAAGAGTCCTAAGATTCAAAGTCACCCCCCCCTCAAATTGTACACGTCACACTAACGAAATTTCTAAAAATAGACAATTTCTTTACGTATTAGAATTAACTTCTCATAATGTTTATGCAATAAATTCTCATTTAGTCAAAACTGTTAATATAACTCTCCTCCGCCATTGCTAGTATACTTCATTTACTTTCTCTAACGATTATCCCCTTCCAATGTCTTGGATGCGCGCTGGCAAAATCGTAGGTAGGGAGAAAAGAGCTCATTATATTCTCGACTCTTGTTCATTAAACATACTTTTTCATACAGTACCTGCCAAAAATTTTGTTCGATCATGAATAGTAGTGCGAGTTGAAAACAAGCGTTAACGCCTTTAATATGTCTTCATATAAATAAACATCTCGTTGATATTTTCAGTAGAAAATGGTACCAACAACAGCACATTTGAGCAATGCAATTGTAGTGGATAAAATGGTCAATTTTTCCATACAGTACTGTACGGATTATACGCTCCTTACCGCTTAAGAGTTTGACCGAGAATTGTCTCCATTCTTTTCTGGCCTGCTGTTCTTTTCTACTTTGCGCCGGTCAAACTAAAGGTCACATCGCTAGAGAAACTAAACGAAGTATAGTATACCTTGCTAAACAGACGGATGAATTTTCTCCACTATAATTAACTTAGTAATTTAGGGATTAGAGTGGGATTTCAGAATAGTGTGACATCATACAAAAAGATTATAGAATAACTAATACATTGTAATATCATAAGTGTGCATTGTTTATTTTAACTCAATAAACTAATAAAATTAAAACTTTTCGAAATCTTTGCGCTAAACAGCATATTTAATGATCGTTATCATCATAAGATCGTCAGTCCTAAGACTGGTTGGAGACGCACCTCCACTCTTTCCTATCCTGAGCTAATCTTAGCATTTCCCTAAAACTACAACATCCACGTCCAACTATTTGTGTACAGTAATCTAATCTAGGTCTACCCTCTTAACTTCTGTTTCTGCCTTCAATAGTCCTAGTCAACTAGCCCTTTATGCATGAGAAAGGGGCTTACCAACCCATCTCACCTATAACATATTTCAGAAAGGATACAGAAGCTTTCATGACCATTAAACGTCCGGTTTATCTGTAGGCAGGTAACATCTTTTAACTATCCTACTAAATAAAGTTCTGAAAAATAAATTGCCACCCTACTTTCTATTAAATTAGCTCAAAGTACGAATGCATACCAGTTAGATTAGGTTGTAAAATAAATTTCCACTTTGTTTTTAATTAAATTAATTCAGTGTACGAATACTTACAGGTTAAACCTTCATCTCGAACGCTATCAAGAAAAATTAAAAAACTTGACAACTCCAAAACATGAGCAACCAGTAAAGTCATTAATTACACATAATGGTATTTTGCAGTCAAAAGAACATGAAGATCATCAACATGTTCCAATAACATGGGGAAAAGTAAATGTTCATACGTTAGGTCCACTATTAGATGCATACCAAGAGACCGTTTTAGAAAAAGAAAGCGTTATTGAGGAATATGAAAATGCAATGGCCAACTTCACATTAGAATTTAAGAAAATAGCAGAAGAAAATGAGTTACTTCATGAAAAATTAACGGAAGATGAAGGTTGTAGCATTAAATTAACCGCTCAAATGGAAAAGCTAACTCAAGATTTAGTATTAAGTAAAAAGCAGAATGATTTATTAAGCAAAAAGTGTTCCCTCAAACAGAAAAAAATGGATGAAGTTCTTGAAATTTATCAGCAGAAAGGTAAGCTAACAGAACAATTCGTGACCAGCGATTTATTAAAACCGGCAGATGTGAATCGCGTTTTAAAATTAATTCGTTGTCATTGGCCTGGAAAAATCAAGTTTTCTAATTGCAAAAATATATGTATATGTTAAGATTAATTTGTCTACTTAGCTAGTTTGTAAAGTAGCTGCATATTGAATAGTATACAAACTGTCCAATTTGCTAAGAATTATAAGGTTACTATACAAGGTGACAACACTCACGAAATATAAAATACCGTAGCCTTATGTTTCGAAGTATATCCATAGAACCAAATATTTGGACAATTTTGTATAATAATCAAGTAATATAGAAACTAATTAGCCATGTATGAATATTAACCATAACATACGTAAGATAAAAATGCCCTAATTAATTAGCCGTCAATGATTGAAACACACATACCTACTCGTGACCTTCGCAACAGCTGGTACGCAAACATGCCAACTGCGCGTCTGACGATTATAGCAAAGTTACTGCTATTACCACAAAATGCAAAAATAAGTTGAGTGTAAAAATATCAAACAAAAACTGTATTCGAATGCAGAATTTGCGGACATGGTACTCACATGTAGACAGTGTAATGAGAATACACTTGCGGCATCACGCGAAGGCGCATCAAGCAAACAGGCAGGTATCACATAGGGATACAATTGTCGCTGCTGTACAACGCTTGAGCGACGAAGTATGGTACCGCGCCGAGGGGGTGAAGGCTAGTCAACCAAATCGTTTTGAGATTAATTGAGGACAATCCCAGTTTGAATACCCGAGTCATTACATAGCAAACGGAGATTCCACGTCATACGTTACAGGGAATTTTAATATTACCGTAACAGTATAGTAACAGCAAAGTTAGCTAAAATTAGCTCGTCGATCGTACCTGATCTTCATGCAGTCACATTCAAATCGCAGCTTTGTACGCACAACATTATGAATGACTTCTAATCGTTCTTGCGCACGTATTCGTCCGTAGATACTTGAGAATCTGCAGGGCGACAATACATCACGCCCGCAGGCAATCTGAATTCATTCTCGAATAAAATGCTGACCGGTGTTCTTCTAGTTGTCCAATGGGTCCAGTAACTTTTCGTTGTCTGGGTTAGGTGAATCGCATCTGCCTACGATGGTTTTGAGGTTTCACCTTCATTCCATCTCATTATTGGTCCAATATCTTCATCTTTCCTCTGGTCTTCGATTAATTCCGTACCTTCCCAGGATGCTTCAGGCTGAACAGTGGTTAGATTACAACAGATCGATGTCAGTTCTTCCTTCTTCGTCGCAGATAAATAATATGTGCAGTTTTCACGCAAGGTCTCCAGGACGGTGCATGTGTTGTTTGCCTGGGAGATGTTTGATATCGAATTCGTATTCCTAAAGTCGTTGTAACCATCGTGCAATTTATTCTTACGGGTTTTTGAATTATAGTAGCCACTTTAGACAGGCGTGATCCATTCTTAAGAGGAACTTCCATCCATACATACAGGTACTTATACTCCATTTCTTTCGAGCATACGTCCCACTAATGATGCTTTCTGTGTCAAGTGTTGATTATCCGATTCGACAAGCCCCAATAATATATCGCTGTCGTCATACATTCTAACTAATACAATACTCTCGGAACAACTCAGTAGTACTCGATCTTCCTCTACGATCATCCCAGTTTCGTCTTAGATTTGGACATCTCCATCTCCCGTCTATCGATGCGCAAGGAGGTGCTAATATTTAAGTCAATTTCATATACATGAAGAAGATCCAATCCAATGATAACATTATAAATATCGGCCACCAATACAAGATCGCATTTCCAATTATAATTTCTTCGTTGCTCTGTGGATTGGTGTAGTCTCTCCGACAGCCGATAGTGAGAGTCAGTCTTCTTACCAAAGGTCGAATTCGTCACTCCAATACCACATCACGTCAATGATAGTATTCCATGTCCTGTGCCTAAACCCATTTTAACATTGTAATGATTTATAGATCATTCTATGAACAGGGAGTTAGCTCCGTCCGGCCTTAAAATAACGACTTCTTCGGGGGTCTTGGTGATGGTGAGCCAACTTGCGTCCCATACAATTGGCTGATCTTAGTTTTTACTCTTGACTTAAGTAGGTCATCGTTCTACAATTTCAACATTTCAGACGACCGCTCTGGTTCTTATAGTCCCGAACAACATTCCACATTCCCAACATTTTGAATTTCGTTCTTCCGGGTCTGTAACAGTGGCTTTCTTCGTCTCTTTTATGTATTCTTTGATGAACAACACAATACCTTGTCATCTAGTTGTGTCATCGTCTATTTCGACTTGTCGTACCGTACGTGGTTCTTAGAAGCTTGTTTCGCCGTTTCAAATTGTAAGACATGTGACAATGCTTCACTTTAAGTCTTACGGCCTAGTTTTAAGACTTTCTGTAGTTTTTCCTCGACAAATGTTTGTACAACCAGTTGGTCTATGAACTCTTAAGGGACAGAGGGGTAGGCGAATTTCACCAGGCGTTCCACATCGGACTCAAATTGTTGAAGAGTACCTTTACTTCGTTGACTACAGCTTTTCAGTTGCGTCTGATGTAGTTATTATAAATGTTTATCGTAGTATGTCATTACATGACCGTTTGTTAGTTGCCTATACGTAACAATATTAAACTATTGTTCTCACAATGACTATTATTTTTCTCATGCTTTCTACAAAAAGTATATAAAAGAACCCGACTGGAAATTAGTTCAGAGAACCCGGATTATGATCAGATGCGGATCAGATTTTCCGTAATACGGGTATCTGATCAGTTTCTGATCAGAGTACAGTACTCTATCCGTTAATCCACCAATCTGATCAGTTTCTGGTCAAAGTACAGTACTCCATTCCTTGATCTGGTTATCCGATCAGAAATTGATCAGCACACAGTACTAATTGATCATAGTAAGGTATCCTATCCCTTAATCCAATCATCTAACCAATTTCTTATCACAATCTAATGCTACAAATTCTATTACGGTTTCAATAAATCTTTAAACCAAGATTGTATCCCATGTTCTGAACTGGATCATAATACAGAACTTTATTTTTTACCTGATTTATTCTGTATGCAATATTGTTCGTCAAACAATGAACAATATTNGAAACTATAGCTACAAGCTATCCAAGGATGGTACTATAGAATGTCACCTCAAGGTAGGCCTAGTGGCGTCATCTCTTGGTTAGGCCGGAAACTTATCAATCCACCCTCGTATATTGAGATAAGTGTTATCACAGTGCGATGTCTGCAAAAAACATTCGAGTAAATCGTATAAAGTCAATACCTTTGTCCTTGGACAGAGTGCGCGATACCATTGCCTTTGAAGTAACAGGTGTGGACCTCTATTTCTCAAAGCGACAATGGTACTAATTTTGTCGAGTTTGAAAACGTGTGCAAGTGATTAGATCGGACTACCATATTGGATTTAGTTCTGCAAGAAAAATACAATGACGTTGTATCCAATGAACCGTCAATAAACGATCTTTAACCTACGTGTCCAACGACTAGCAAGGTTTGGTATCGTTGACACCGACCATGTTTCTCCGGCAATCGGTTAGTGCGGGTTTGCTGGATGTCGACATTATTGAGAGCAATTCACTTTGTCGTAAAGCCCAATACAAACAGAGAGTGTTAAATGATCTTTGAAAAGGATTTCGGGCAGAATACCCGGTACAACTTAAACCTCACTGGAAATCCCAGAAAGGACATCGTAAGGTGTCTCCAGCGGATGTGAAAGCGATAACGAAAAGCGTGTTAAACAAATGACAGGTAAGAGTACAAACTACAAAAGGTTAGCTGTTGCGACCTGTCCAGAGATTGTTAGCTGCTGCGACCTGTTCAGAGATTGTATCCACTAGAGGTGACACCATCGCCTCCACAATCTTCCGAAAATGCTGTGACTCTCTCGTCTTGCGATGACCATGGGGGTTCTGAAGCGGAAGCCAACAACCTAATACCCTCTACTACTAGTGAAAGTGCGGAAGTGAAACAGAGCAGAGTAGGTACCCGTTAAAATTTGTAAGAGTGAACAGAGGCGAAGTCCCAAAGAGACCTTGTGATAACGTAAGAGAAGAGCGTACCAGAAAAGGTCATTAAAAGAACTTTTTCGTAAATTTAAGAAGTAATTAATTTGATATTTATTTTATTTGCCTGTTTTATTTTTGTGTCACTAATGTTCTTCAAGTGCAAGCATATTAACTTTATAACGTATTTTTTTAAGTTTCAACTACAGCCGACAACGTTGCTTTCATTTTCATTAAAATATAGTTGTTCGGTTGTTATTCTTTTTTTGCCTTTTCGGTATTATAATGAAAATAAACTTAATATAACCATTCTAAATGTCCATATTTTATTTAATACGAACCGAGAACAAAGAATAACTCGCGATCTCACCATTATTGCGCCCCTTCATATTCGCACCATTATCACAGTCCTGCCCCTCGAACAAATGTTGAGTCCCCAGTGTTCCGTTTTTAAAACCAATATGGATTTCTTTAATTTCAGCTATACCTAATGCTTATAAAAGAAACTTTTATATCTGATAATATTTTTATATTGATTATTTTATTAGTAGATAAATCAGTTTTACATTTTTTTAATCGGGTGTATACCCTATCACCGCTCCTTTGACTCCTATAGGGAATGTGGTCGCTTTCCAATGTGTCATTTGAAGCAATCTATTCTGAAAGTAATGTAAGCTGAGCCAAACATTAAATCAATGCTAAAAAGTATATTTGCGAAAGATGCGGATGTTGGAGAGCCATCCTTCCACAGGTGATAAGCATTTAAATCGCCCAGTAGAATAAAATTGTTAAAGTTTTTCATTTTATCAGTTAAACAGAGCCATTGACTGTATTACATCCGACATATGAGTCGAATTTCCGTAGCATATCCGCATTACTGTTAATGGCACTCCTGTTTCAACTGATTTAAATTAAGTCTTATAGTATCATATAATATGGATTTTTT